GTTTCTTTTATTCTTCCTATAAGAATCTCCTTTTTTTTTTCTTCTTTCTCTCTATCTTACTCTTCTTTGCCGCGCGTCGTCCTGCTCCTGCTGCGAGAACCATCTGTGAGCGATGCTATATCGCTTAGTAATAATCGGACGTACGTGAATAAACATGTCTCGAGCGAGTCTCTGCTTCATTTCTAATCGACATGATTTACTGAGCATTCTTCGAAGCAGTAAACTAAAATTACTTAAAAATATAACAAATAACAATTATAATTTCGATTAAACAACATTACTTTTTGAGGAGAGAGATTTTTATCAAGAGCCCACTATAATAAAATGTATATTTTAAGGATATTATTGAATAGTTGACGGTATATACAACAGCTCTATTAAATGAAAACCATTAAAATGTAGCGTGTCTAAAAGATTGAGCACCTCTTGACAATTCATCTTCTTTTTTTCATTCTGTTTTAGAAAGACGAGTTTCAAAACGGTCACACAAACAGGACGATGATTCTTCTCGAGTGACAGAAAGAAGACGTTCGTTAATCTGTTCGTGGAAGTCGAGAGGCGAAAGGTAAGTAATTATTCCAATCGAAAACCTTTATGAGTAGTTCCATAATAGCCTAGTTGAAGTAAAATAAGGACGTTGATTTCGCTAATAAACCGTAGAAATTAAAGAAGCTAAAATTTTGAAAAGGCTTATAATTTTTTATCGTGAGATTGCCGATTTGAGTCAGCGGCGTTGCGGCAATACGTTTGCGAGATGGCACGACGCTTATGTAAAATGATAGAATTAGGTGGCAGCGTGATTTCGATTGGCCAAGCCATGCCGGCGCGAGCGACCATGACCCGGGGAATAGCAAAACGAGCAACAATAGACAATGGCGGTCCCATGCTCTACATACGCAAAGCGCGGTAGGCACGCGCGAGCGGCGCGGCGCGTAGGTAAGCGTAAGCAAAACGCACACGCAAGCGACCGCGTAGCGGGCTCGTACATGCGTGCTCGCGTGCGTTCCACAAGTGCGTGTGGCGCTCACGCGACGCACTCCATCTCGCTCCACGCGCTGACGATTTCGCTCTCGCCGACCGGCAAAAGTGTTGTCGCTAATTGTCATGGCGCAATCGCGCATTGTCCGCGGATTAATCGTCATGAGAAACGTCAGAGCGCGCACCACCATTGTTGCACGGCAGCAGCGGCAGCGGTAACAGCGACGACCGGGTCGCGCGAGCCTTCGTTGCAAGTGTTACGCGGCCTTTTACAATAATTCGGGCCGCGCGAAAGTAACAGCGCGAGCGTGTTAGACATTAGGATGGACGGATAGGTGGGTAGGTGCCAAGTAGGTAGGTGGATGAACGAATGAATAGATAACTTTATACACACGCGCACACGCTCACATGTACGCGTGGGTAGGCGCTCCTCCCAACGTCTCGTCGTTCATGCGCACGGCTGCGCCGAGCTGCGCCGCCTAGGAATCAATTCTTATTGGAGCGTAATTAGGGAAAAACCGGCACACTCGCGGATAATAATTGCTTCCGGTGATGAAAGAACGTATCGTTGCGCGGCTTGTTCGCAAGACGAGTCCTGCGTACGTAAGAAGGCAATCGTATAGCGTAGTATTCGCACTCGTGACTCAACCGGATCATTTTTATGAGAGACATGTCGCGCGATTGCAAGGCAAACATAATTATCGGGTGGATCGGCGATTTATCCGATCACAGCTGGCGTCGCGTTTCGACACAGGCGTCTCGATTCGCCGTGTATCCGTTGATGATTGCTTCAATCGACCGCGGTGCAGTCATCGGTTTTCGGTCGGGACGGTCGGCCCCGAAAGGGGCGCCGGGGCTCGTGCCACCCACGCGAGATGCTTTTCACGCCTCTGACGCGACTAGTTCCTTTGGCGGGCAGCGCCGCGTCCCGGCTGTTGGCCCTTCGGATATCTCCGACATGACAGATAACACAATGGCTCTAATATACCGCGCCGTGAAAAGGGTAAAGAGGTGCCCACGACGATGGCGCCGATGAATGGTGGCTACGAGCGGTGCAGGGACCCTCTCCCTATCTTATCGGATCTCGTGCGCGAGTTGCGGCACAGCCGGGCAATGCTCGGACAGTGGTTCCCATTGTTCCACGCACTCCCCCCTCGCGCCGCGTCGCCCCGCGCCACGGCAGTTCTTCTCTCTCTTTCTCTCTCTCCCTTTGCCGACCGATCTTCCGACTCCGATCGTTCGGATCTGAATCGAGTTCGATACGCGCTAGATACGCCGGTATAGCAATCCTTCTCCTGCCCGTGGAACGCGATTAGATTACTGTCAGAGCGATTAGCTACTTTTTTACTTTGAGATGCTCGAGTATTCAGGTGGAGAGGAATTTTAATATTAAATCTTTGACGTATTCGATTCCATTGATTTCGGAATCGGGATGAGAAGTAAGAGGACGCGAGGAAAATAGCTGCATAGACAGACATTGTTAATTTATATTCCACTGTGATTTCTATCTAAAGGTCGCCGGAGTATTCTATCATATTCTATCATGCTAATGGATCGATCATACTGCAATAAGCGATGCGGCCCACGCTCGTCGAAAAGTCGAGCATTGCCCCGCGGCACAGATCGAACGGGACGGGGAAAAAAATCCAGTCGCCGGCACCCACGCTCGCTCCGATGCTTATAAGGATCTTTGTCTTCCGTCTAGGGCTTCTTCGATTAAGCATCGCTCTTAGTGCACCGACTGAAATGCACTTTCTAAGAACCCCGGGATTCACTTTTGCCGCCCGCGCTCGCAACGATTCTCCCGCTCCCGCTTCGACGGATGGTATCTGTACGGCCGATATCGAAAGCGAGCGCAACGCCTTCGATCACACACAGACGCGTGTAATGTAACGCCTCCTCGTTCGTGCATCATCGCTGCTGAATGACTTAATAAAAGAATCTCGATTACGCCAGACGAGATTCCATCCGCCGCGGGCGAACAAAGGGGCGACGGACGGCGGGCCTCCCACCGGTCGGCCGCGTTCGTTCAGCCGGGCCCCCGGCGCACACGAGAGTATCGCGAGGAAAAGGTCTTTCCTGGCCGGCTAATGCCGCGGATTTATGTGGGTTAGGGCGTCGACTCTCCGCGCGAGCGCGCAAGAAAATCTTACTCCAGGTGACTCATACGCGTCTACCCACCTAATCCGGTGTATCGCTCGCCGCTCGCTCGATCGCCCTACGTCCGCGCGGACGGAAGAGCGAGCGGGCGAGTAAGACAACGCGCGCGAGATGGCAACACGAGCAAGAAGAGACCCCGTGCACAATGTACGGGCGAGAGCGACAAGTTGGATGCGAAACACAATGCGGGCGTGGGTCCTTGCGTCAGGCCGACGGGGCAAATCCTCCGCGTTGCACTTTTCTCTTCTCTCCTCTTCGCTGACGTCACTCTCCGTGAGCTCCGCCACCTTCTCTTCCGCCGCGATGCGCTCTGCCTTGCGGGACCACACTTTTCCTTTCGTCCGGACGTGTCGTAGCGATACGGCGAACGGGGATACCGGCTTGTGCAAGTGTTTCGTCCTACCCGCAGAGACGCGCATCGCGCCCTCGTTACCTCGCGCGCGGAAAGCTCTTAGGGGAAAACCTTGAAACCGTTTTGCGGCCATCGAGATCGGCAGCACCCGCTCGCTCTCTCGTTGCTCGGCAGAGCGAGGCGAAAACGCGCGCCGTTCTTCGAGAATGAGCGGGGTCATCGCGCCCGGTTGCATTCGTTGCGGTTATCGTGGAGAATTAAAGTCTCGCAAACACAGCGAGATCCTTGTCTCACGCATGACACGACATTATCATAAATTAACATCGAGAAGGCTTAATCAATTATTTCTGAAAATTCCACGTACAACTTTATTTAAGGCTACGGAATCAGTGGAAACAATTTTATGTAATACGCGACGAAAAAATAGTTACCTGTTGGCAAATTTTACAGGATGTTTCAGATAAACCGTATCATTAGTCTGAGATACCTTGTATATTTTACATTATTTTCTAATCTATTCTCTTAATGATTAAAATGAATTTAGATTAAATTAGATAGACTCACCGGCACGATGCATAGAGCAGCGGAGTCGTTCACAAAAGTTGATCTGCAACATACAAAGTATTTAAATTATAGCAGCGTTTAAAATAAAATTCAGAAATAATTATTACGCACATTAAAATTTTACTTTCCGCAAATAATAGATAACAAAGAAATGATTAATTACAGTTGCTCCGCCGGCGCCCGATGTTTTTCCCGAGCCTCCTCTTCCTCCTCTTTTCAGTCCTCTTTGCAGTTCTTTAAGACACTCACACGCGTTTGCGATGCGAATGTGAAAATTATACGATGTATGTTTTAAATGGCATTGTCGAGAGAGACGTGTATTTTTTGTCATGTTAACACAAGAGTAAAATTTGCACAAAATATTATCGCACAGATTACATGTTCGACATTCTGTCACATCCGTGACAAATACGACGGAAAAGGGCAAGGTCGAAAACTGTGGGAAACAATAGGGATAGTACTATTGGAGAGGATAACCTACGGTTATGGAACAATCACGTCGGTCCGATTTCAAAGAATGTGAGGAGTGAAACAACTATATGCCTGCCGATACATAACGCGAGAGAGAAAAGAAGAGAGGGGGGGGGAGGGGACAGAGGATCACGCAGGCTAAAGGCGACGAAACAATCTCACCAAACGTCGCAAGTCGATCTCGAAACTGTTAATTGTTAGGATATATTATCGAATATTTTATTAAAATTGTGTTGAAATCGAGTTTAATAAATGTTCAATAATTGTTCTAATGTTTCGTGACCGACTGACGGCGTGTGGTGGGGTTGTTTTCGTCGTCGCGCATGGTACGCGCGCTTCATATCTCTTTCTCTCTCTCTCTCGTGCGCGCGCTATGTATCGACATAAACATTATTGCTCTCTACTCTTCGCATTCCTTCCGAATCGGCACGACCTTGTACTTCTTGTTGTCCTATTAATATTCGCACGGCGGCACTCGTACGAGGCAGATTATTCCGTAGCAGCGCGTTATCCTCTCCAGTAATATTCGTACTATTTCTCACAGTTTTCGATCATAACCTTTTCCGTCGTTATCTATTGCAGAGAGTGTCGAACGTATTCCGTGCGATAATATTCGAGTTTCCTCTTTGTCTTAAAATGGCAAAGTACGCGTCGGGAGTGTCCTTTAAAAAGTCGCACGACTTTTGTATTTGCGACGCGAACGCGAGTGAGTGCTTTAGACTGCGAGGACTGAGAGGAGGAGGAGGCTCAGGAGGAGCATCGGACGCCGGCGGAACAACGTTTAAGTAATTAATCATTTATTTGTTATTTGTTATTCGCACAAAATGTTGCACGTAAAATGTTATAACGCATATAAAATATTTGAATCATTCAATAAAACATTTACAATAATTAGTGTTCATGATTATTAAATTTTTTTACACATTTATTGATATTTTGAACAATTAAATAATCAAATTAGATACAATAGAGAGCGTAAAGAGCCAAAACGCCAGATTTCTGTGCGATAGAAATTGTATTATATTATAAAAATAGCTTACAAATAACAAATAAACATTCCCTATCGTATCTAATTTTATTGTTTAGCTGAGCCTTTATATTTCCCAATTTTAAACAATAAAATTTTCAATAATTTTTTTATTAGCTACTTGCTTAAAAGATAAACAAAAAGTTTAATGCGCGCAAATATTTTTTAGATACTAATTATTTTATATTCTGCTATAATCTAAATATTAATAATAATTCTTTTTTTTTTTGTATTTTACAGATCAACTTTGCAGATCAACAACTCCGCTGCCGTGCTGGTAAGTCAATATAATATTTTTTATTTTAATATTGGTAATTATTATTGGTATTTAATATCTGCGACTTGAACGTTTTTTACGTTTAAAATATATTATCGATGTCATCTTATCGCTCTTATCGTGTCCGCGCCAACGTACACAGCCGCGTTGTACGCCGATCGTCGTGTTACAGTGTATATACTTAAGAATGCACTCAGGTATGCACATACTCGCCGAGTACCGTCCCGGCCGTGATTTACGATTAGGTAGTCCAGAAATCGACAGTACATAGCCAATAAGAGAAAATGTTCTCAACGAGAGCTGGCGAGCGGTACGATCTACGGCTTAGGTAAGGTGATACGCTCCCGTGAGCGAGTTCGAGATCCGCGAGTAGGTACGCGAAATACGACACAGCTTATGTCGGTAAGACGTATCACCGCGATTACGTCAACTTACTTGGGATCGATCCGTCTTTCGGCTTCACCAAAGCGACGTCGCGTCGGCGATCCTTTTGCGTCGTATGGCTTTTACTCCAAATTGTATTCGTCGGCGCTCTTTCAACGCTCGTAAGCTTTCAGAGCACCTTTTTCCATGAGTTTATCTGCCCGCAATAAACCCCGGGCGAGCCGAAGCTCAAATTGATTCGTCGGTGCCGCAAACACGGAGGTCGTTCGCGCTTATATCTTATCTGCTCTTACCTGTCGAAGCGTCCGGATTTTATAGCCTCCAGGAGGAAGTCGGAGCGCGCACCTGCCCATCCGTTGACCGGGCCGACGGTTGGAAAGAGATGATTACGGACTATTGTGGAGTAGTGTGTTTAGGATCGGTTTTTAGCGCTCGGAAGCACGCATTCGCATCGGGTCAAGTCGGTCGGCGCCTGTGTTCTCAACAACTCTGACCCATTATATCCGATTCGGCAAATTTTTTTCCGAGAATACGTCAAAAATATTTATTACAGTAAACAAAGCAGTCTTTTTTTGTCTATATACTTAGTAACGAAACTGTGTGGAAAAACGTGTGAATTTTTCGTAAATATTGAATCCCTCAGATATTGCTGAGCTATTATACGGACAAAAGTGTGGCGACAATAGTGCGGACTATATTTTAGCAAAAACAGACTAAAGCTAACAAGTTCATACTGCGGCGTGCGAATGCTCGTCACTCTGGTCACGCACAAATTATATTTGTCTCACGAGTACATCCGTGAGCATTCGGTGTGTAACCAGGCATAAAGAAGACTCGCCAGCAAGAGGGTGAAGACACTTCAGGGTCAGCCGTTCGCGCATCGATATGTGGCCCTCGTATAGCACATTCGCGTGAGTTCATACCGCGCGTGAGTTACGCGTAACTGTACGCAATCGTGGCGTGATTGAGATATTCGATTTCTATAATCGTCCGTGATGACACGTATTTGGCAATCGTCTTGAAAAAATTCGTAAAGGTAAAGGCGAGGTGGAAGAAATATACACAGAATTCAGAAGCGGTAATTGTAACGTTACTGTAAATCTCCAGCGTTTATTATGTTTCTTCCGTTACAAGCACACGTTGATTATAATTTATTGCGCGGAGAAGCGGTGGAAAGCCCATTATTTTCTTACTATTCGTGCAGCGGATTTTTTTTCCTTCGCTTTCATCTCGCGAAAGGATACAGGACCGCGGGAGGAAATCGTGGGGGCAGAGGCATTGTCATACGTCTCGCCGGTGCATAGTACAAGAGAGTGCGATACGCGGGACTCGTGTTGCGTCTAGAAACCCATAGTTAGGACTTAGAAGCCCACACGGTAGCGGACATTGTTATTCAAATCAGCCATTGTCTCCGGATCCGACAGATGCTAATTTTTAAGTCTCGGCTTATTACGCATACGGGCGTTTCCAGTGCGTTCGGATGTAGAGCGACCCGGGCTCCCTCGCGCTGCAATTCGCTCGCGTTAGGACGACGCCCTAAGTTTCTCCGCGCGCTTATCCGATCGATATCGTGCGATCCCGCCCGATCTTAGCTAGAAACAAAGTGACTGTCGTCTCCTATGACGTCGCTGTACCACTTTCTCTCCGAGTTTAGCCGGCACGGCGAATTCCTGACCGGCTATTAGCTCGATCCTACGAGCTCTTCCGAAGTAGATCCCGCCTCGATCTCTCGCGCCACGCTGCGAGTGCAATCTGAAATTTTAGCACTAGAACGCTAACACGAAATGATTGCCAATTAGGGCTAATGGTTTGACGGAAGATTGATATCGTTGAAAGATTATATATTATGGTTTTGAAAAAGAAATAAAATTCAACAAATCGGTCTCAGAGCAATTTGATATACTTAGAAAATCTATAAGTAAGGCAATTTCTTGTTAAATAAGTATCTATCTAAAAAATTTTACGTAACATAAAAATAATCGAATATTAGAACACACAAATTGGATGCTTATATTAAATATTTTCTTTCATGGATTTTTTTTTTATGATTATTGTCACGTTTGTTTTTAATCCGCGAAGAATGACGCCGGCCGTGCGAATACGTATGTGTCAAACCACGTGCGCTCGCTCGCTCCCGCGCTCTTCGCGCGCTGCGGGATATTTTCGAGACGAGCGATAGAGACATAAAGAAGGGACGTGCGACATCCTGCCCCGCGGGCGGGCATTGGCGAGGTATAAATCATCCGCGCAGGGATTGCATTTCAATGCTCGGGGCTGGATAAGTAACGCGCGCGCGAGTTGGACGCGGGAGCGAGATCGCGAGCGCGACAACCTGGCGCGACGCAACCGCCCGGCGATTTTATGCAGCGCGCGCGCGTAGTGGCGCGGTTATCGGAGGTGCGCATCCCTCGTTACGGATGCAACGGACGCGTATCCGGCAAGCTCACGCCGTGGGCACAGGACGACGCCGACGACAAAAAGAATCGTCGCCGCTCCGCGACTTTACTTCATCTTTTTCTTTTATTCCGTTCTAATGTGTGTCACCGGATTTCACGTCGATTAATTGTTTCGCTGGATGCGCGCAATCGAGACGTGGTCGTCTGCGCGCATTGCTGTTTGAAATTGCCGAGCGTCGCCAATTTTGTTCTTGGTTAATCGTTAAATCTCTGTACTTACAAGAGAATTTCGATGTTAAATTATTGTAAGCTGAAATGATTTCCGTTCTTCTGGCGATCTCGCGTCAAATCAAACAGCAAACAACTGAATATTTTTTGTTCCTCTCGAATTTTTGTACTTGCATAATACTGAGATATCAATTTATAAAACAATTTTACTATCGTAATTATAATACTTTTCAAGATATCAAGTTTCATAGTTTCTATGAACGGCAAAGAGAATATGCTAGCTATTGCGAAGGCGGCGATAATCAGCGGGTGTGAAGGATCGCCGATCTGGTTGAATCGCGGCTATCGAACGATAGATTGAGAGATGGTGTCGAGTTAAACGCGCGCCGCGCCGCGCGTTTGCTCGATCCGCACGCGTGAAACGACGAGCTGTCGATAATCGCAACGGTGCACGCTTCGCAGCCAATGGCATAAATCGCAATCCGTGCGGCACGTATATGCGTGCGGTGGCCGAGCCGACTGGGCGTGTCGCACGCAACGCCCGGCACGTGGACAGTCGGATACGCATCGACAGGCTCTCTCGCACGAGCTGTACGCGGCGACTATATGTGTACGCGCTGACGTAAACGCGGTGCATACGTTTTGCACATATAAAGAGTTTGTTATTAAAGTTTTACGAGTGTTTATGAGAGATATTTTTAACACTTTGCGCAAACAGATGCGGACAGCTTTACTGTTCGATTGCCATTTAACGCGGCTGTTTGTATGCTATCTTTGTTTCAGTTCGGTTTCAGACGGTTGAATGACACGTTCGTAAAATTTTGCACGATGTAGATATAAACGTACTCACCACGGCATAACGCCATCCAAACGCGGCGAATTACTGTTTGCGAAACGACTTATTGTTTTCCTCGGTTGACAAGGGAGCTCGCCCAAGTGTCATCGCTCGTACGCACCTGGTTACGACTTTGGCACATAGAGGCGCGTACGAAGGGTGCGTAATGCACCTTTCCGTGCCACGGAACGTGACCAGACGCGGAGCGTCCTGTGCCGATGAAGAGGAGGCACTGGACTCGGCGGCTGAGTCAGTCTCTTAGAATGTACGATGGTATTGTGCCTGACGTTGGCAGGAGAATACGAAACGAGTTTACGTGAAAAAAGACGCGTCAAATGAACCGTCGCTCGTGCGAAACTTTGGAGCTTTTTCGAGAAACGCGCGAGGACACAATTAGGAATATGATTAGATATGTGATCTAATAAAGATTTATTATGGAGAGTATTCATATTGAAATATCAGATATAATCGAAAAAAAAATTTCTAGCAGTTGTTTCTTAGAAAGATATTTGATCGATGCTCAGACAGATTGTGTTTTCTAATTCTTTAATGTACACTCGTGATTAGTTTTCAATTTAATGAATCGTAACGTGAGGAGCGATCGGATTGAATCGGATAGATTCGCCAGAATAAAAGTTTCCGTAATTCAGAGTCAGCTGCTTTTCGTGAGACTTCTCGAATCGTGGTAAGCGTGGACCGTTCTCTCTTTCGCCATCCCGGCAGACACGGAATATAAAAGTGAATTAAGATTGCCTCTCGTTCCATCTCCGGATCGCTTGATCGTCTTTGCGCCAATTCGCACGCCGCCGGTTGTGGCATCGATCGCAGGACGTTCGTAATAGCGAAAGCGCTGCCGCAATGCAACGATCGATAGTCATTCTGAGTTTAACGCAAATTGTATTCTCTCTCAACAAATGTACGTCGACTTGCAAAATAATTTTTAAGTATCAGATTTTTCGAACAGATCTGTATGAAAATAAAACTGTGTCTCTGCAATGTTCGCGATATTCAAGTTGTTATAAATTTTTGTTTCATTTTCTAATTTATTATTTTTGGAAACATTTTAATTAATGTATTATACTTTTGACTCAGAATTAATGTTAACTTCTTCGAAATAATAAATTTGATAGCACGAATTAGATATATCTACATGTTCA